TGATAAGGAAGGACCACAGGAGATACTTATGGTTCGTACATATTCAATCACATGCATACTCGTGTTGTATTTTTTTCTTTTTCTTTTTTTAAAGAAAATTTAATTGGCACTTTTGTACTCATCGACGGACCGACATACCAATAAGTAAAACAGAAAAATAACTGTAATTGCACCGAAAAAAAAAAGTAAAATGAAATAGGTTTTTTATTTGAATTGAGAGAATTGTTTTAAAAATAGAGTTTAAGAAAGTGGAGGTTTTTTCCATTTTAATATTAAGATAAAATTAGAAGAATTATATATTGTTTATTTACAAAAATATAAGCGATAAATAAGAAGAATAAAGTACTAATATTTAACTATTTTAATTAAGTTTTTCTTCTATTATTGAATTACTATTCTAATTTTGTATAACTATGTCAAATGACAAATAAAAAGAAACTGAATGAATATTTTTTCTTGTCTAATCTATATTTAAAAAATATAATAATTAGCATAGAAAAATGTTTAGAATTATTAAAGAACATATGTATAATTAATTTAAAATAAAATGAAATTAAAATTTGAAACAAAAAAGAGAAAATATGACATGTATAATTGTTGATTAAGATATTAATTCACTACAAAAAAAATTTCTCTTCTTATATGAGACAAATTTATCTTATATAACATGTAAAATTATATTCTCACATATATATATATATATAGATTAATATTTTTCATATTATAAAAAATAATTTTATTTCTTATACACATATAAAAATATGCAGTGCATGTTTTTATATATATATAACTGCATATTTTTATATATGTGTAGGAAATAAAATTATCTTCTACAATATAAAAAAAAAATATATATATATATATATATAGGGTTTGGTGTTTATCATTTTAAGTGACATAAGTTATGTCATTTTAAGAGAAAGATAGACACAAAAAAATGGAAATCATGGGAGAGAGAAAATGGATTATTTTTTTAATTAAAATTTTAAATAAAAAAATTATTTTGGGTCTATCTCTCTCTTAAAATGACGTAACTTTATGTCATTTAAAATGACAAACACTTTCCTTATATATATATATATATATATATATATATATATATATATATAGCGCAGGTTATTCTTACACTGGTATAAGAGTTAGAAGTCTTACACTCAATCTTGACCATTGATCCACTTGTATCCAATGACTCACATTACTCAAAAATTTGAGCCCTTAGATATAAGTGGGTTCAGGGAATAAAATTGAAAGTGTAACTTACACTGGTGTAAAATGATCCTAACCCTATATATATATATATATGGGGAAAACATTTCTGCAGCCACTTTAGATAAGGTTGTCTACAGCTACCTTTTTTCACTAAGTACGACCGGTTGTACATTAAAATTGCATTTTCTCTCTCCACCACATCAGCCGACAATGTCTGAGGAAAGAGAAAAAAAGAACAGCTTTATTGTTATAAACTAAGTACGATCGGTCGTACTTAGTGAAAAAACAGTAGCTGTAGACAACCTTATCTAAAGTGGCTGTAGAAATACTTTTTCCTATATATATATATATATATATATATATATATATATATATATATATATATATAATCAGAATCTTATGTTTGATTCTTTTTCTCATAAGCAAAATCTAATTGAGAGAACATTTTAAAAAAATTAATTTTTCTTCTAAAATTGAATAAAGCTAAATATATGCTTAGATTGTCAGTATCTTTTACATGGATGGGAAGCACTTTTAAAATTCAAAATTTCTAGTTTATGTGAGACCAAATTTCTTTGGAATTGGAAAGTGTTTCATTTTCTTAATTTGTATATTCTTTGGAAAATGTCCGATGAGCGTGAACGAATTATTGGGTAATCTTTTAGCTTTGAATATTTTCTAAAGGAACAGTGACTAAAGTGTTACTGTTGGCAAATTTTTTTATTAAATTACCATGCTAACAGTAATTTTTGTCAAAATATTACGTGACATATTTCGCTACACTGTGTAGCGAAATATGTGTGCAAATAATTCGCTACACAGTGTAGCGAAATATGCCACGTCAGAACTAAAAATGACATGTGTCAAAATTGGAGAAATTCGCTACATAGTGTTGATTTGCATCTCGATATCTTGGATTTTTTTACTTTGCGCTCGAATAAATTGTAGCTCAAAACTTAGATTTTCTTGTCTGACGTTTGCTCAAGTTATCGCTTAAAGTCCTGAATCCGCCTTCTAAGCTTTTCATTTTCTTTATCTTGGGGATCTATTTGACGCAATTGTCTATTTTTTTCAGGAACGAATCCATGTCCTTTGCCTTCATGACTCTGCCATCCACGACTTCCATGATTATTTTCTGCCATTGGTTGAAGGCAACTTAGTGCTCTGATACCAAATAATGTTGAAGGCACATAGAAAAAATATGGCTAAATAGAAAGTTAGGATTTAAGAAAAGAGTAACCCTTTGGTTCTCAATTTCTAATTATCAAAATAACAAAGCTAAACTCCTACAGTAAAGGTCTTAAACACCTTTTTACATACTAATTACAAATCAATTCAAAATTTAAAATTCTAAAAATAAATATATGACAACTACATTCAAAAGAAAATAAATAAATATAATTAAATGATTCAAAACATATAACTATTCTTGAGCTATAAGGGACTAGTTTTGAAAAAAATCATTATATATACATTCCCCACGACCTTAAAATTGATTGATCATTATTCTTATACATCTTAAGGATAATTTGAGAGCTTTTACAATATCATTTGCATATCTTTCAAATATCACACATATTTGAGCTTATATTGCGAAATTTCATATGCCCATAATACTTCAAGTTGTATATCCACACTTTGAGAGTTTATATTTATCTATAAACACTTCCTTCTTGTATTCTTGAGTTGAAAGGGTTGTGAGACCCATTTAGTTTGAAAAGTAGCCAAATACTTAGAAAAATTTGGATAGAATTGTAAGGTTGCTAAGTACCAAACTTGGAGGTTGTAATGTATATAAGAATCCAAAGTCTTGAAAGATTGTAACGGTTTGTCAAGCACCCTTGAAGATTAACCGTTAGTGAAAGATTTGATCGAGTGGCTTCAATTTGGACGTAGGTCACAAGTGGTGGTGACCGAATCAGAATATATTGAGTTTGCAATTTTTTAAACCCTAAACTACTTATTTCTAGCACTTTAATTATTTCTTTGATATCTTGTATGTGTTAAAATAGATTATATAATTGTGATATATTATATACAGAAAAATATTTCAGCAGTTAATGTAGATAAGTTATCTGTATTTACTTTCAAAATGACGTCGTTTTGGGATTGAAAGATTAAAAAATTATAATGATAAAGACTATAATAACCCTGAAATAAATTAAAATTACAAATATACCATGATTTTTGTCCCAAAACGACGTCGTATTGGGCTTACTGCAGATAACTTATCTGTAGTAACTGCAGAAAAAACGAACCCTATTATATATTATGGATTATTTGAATGCATTAATTAGTTTTTCATATATCAAAGTGTGCTTGAAATGATCATTTAAAAACTAATACTTAATTCACCCCTTTTTATTTTGGAAGCCACATTCCTAGGCAAAAAATATATTAAAATATTACTATTTTAATAAATAATTACGAATACATAGCTGTTTCGAAATTATCTACGGATCTATTGCACTCATTCACGTCCAAATTAGGCATGAATACTTTAGGCGTGACTTCAAGGCATTCACGCCTAAATTAGGCGTGACTCGTCTGGTGTTGACACGTGGCACAAAAAATTAATAATTTAACCGTAAAACTTTATAAGGCCATAATTTTTGACTCGGGTATCCGATTGAAGTAATTCTTTTTTGATTCCACATAAATTTTTGAGATCTACGCAATGACATATCATTTGATATATTTTATCTCTCACAAACACAATTCAAATTTGCAACAATGATACTAGAAAGATGGCACCAAATTTCCTATTAAATACAAAACGCAATCAGCTCCTACTAAGTACAAAACGCAATCAACTCCTATAACATTAAATTCAAAATTCAAATAACCTCCAGCAAATTTATTTGAATTGGCGACAATCTGTAACAACCTCATAAAATTACAACGCAATTAGCTCCTATTAAATACAAAACGCAATCAACTCCTATTAAATACAAAATGCAATCAACTTATTGGAGGTTATTTGAATTTTGAATTTAATGTTATAGTACCATTATTGGGCGTGAATGAGTGCAATATATTCGTAATTATGTTCAAAACGACAACTTATTCGTAATTATTTATTAAAAAAGCAATATTTTAATTTTTTTTGCCTCTACAAAGTGTTTGAAAAAAATAGTGTACAAGGTTATTTATTTAATTATTAAAATATATACAAATTTATATAATATTCTACCAAGTGTTTAGAATATTTATTTAATTATTTTCTTTATTAATACATATTTTTCATATTGATTTTTGAGTTTAAATAACAAATTAAATCTTTCTATCAAAAAAAGAATTACCTCATTCGGATACCGGAGTCAATAGTTATGGCTTTCCAAAGTTTTACAGTTTGTAAGTTCACTTTTTTTACCATGTGTCAACATCAGATGATTCAAGCCTAAATTAGGCGTGAATACCTTAGGAGTCACGCCTAATTTGGACGTGAATAGTCACGCCTAATTTGAGCGTGAATGAGTGCAATAAATCCATAAACAGTTTCAAAACAGTTATGTATTCGTAAATAAATGTTTTTTCACAATTCTGTCATATTTTTTTTTTTTAATTTATACTAGTACTATTTGTTATGTGTTACATATTATTCTTTAAATGGTTAAAAATTATAATTTAAATAATAAATTATAAAATTAAATTATTTTTTAATATCTTACACAGCTAATATAACCAATTAATTACAAACATATAATCAATAAATTACGCGGATATACAAGTTAGTTTTCAATAAAAAGGTAAATGAAAGGAAGAATATAACAATATTTCTTTTTGAACCCAAAGATTTTGGCTATTTAGAAATTGCCCCCACTTGAGGGGTTCGCACTTCTCACCTGTGAATCACACACAATCATAGTTAGCTGCTTCCTCCTTTCAACGATTCCTTGTGATTTCTCTCTCCGACTTTCATTAAAGGTTCGAACTTTACTTCATTTGTAACTAGACACTGATTTTTCTTGTCTCTCTGTTCAAGTTATGATCCTTCCTTAGCCATTTCTATGGTTTTTTTTTACATGATTTTTTGTTTTTTGTTTTTTTTTTTTCAGTTCCCTTAACTGTTTACACGTGATGGGTTTCTGGGTAATTTCTTGAATGTTTGATTACACTCTGAATTTTTTGAACTCTTTGGTGATTGGTGCCACTTTATCTTAGGTATAAGAGTAATTGGGTTTTTTTTTTTTTTTTCCAGTGATCAGTTTTGCATCAGTTTGGTTAATGATTAATGTAATTTTGGAACTCTTTCTTGATTAATTGGGTCAATTTCTGCTCTTTTAATATTGAATTGAAGATCAAAGAGATTGCAAAATGTTGAGGATATATTCTTTCATGTATTGCCAGTGAAAGAAAAATCTGTCAAGTTAAGATATTGACACAGATCCCCTCCCATTTTCCTGTTTGGCATCAAGAAACTGAATAAGAGAAAGGAATGGAGTATCTATTTGTACTTTGCTAGTGGCCTGAAACAGTGTGGATCAGATGGATTTCAATATATTGCTCCATTTGTGATTGTTGATGTTGAGGTCCATAATGATTAAATTGTTCATTATTTTCTTAGCTTTATTATGTTGAACTTGAGATTAGAAGGATTTCAAATTATGTGGATTTTATCCTCCTATATACTGAGAAAGAAACACCAATGAAACATCTTGATTTTAACCTCCTATATACGCATAGAGGAATCTTGATTCAGGTTTAAGTTGGGTTAGGATCCCATATTTTCTTGTCAATCTTGAGATAAATGTTGCTCCTCCATCTTTAGTATATATACACACTTTGAAAACAATTATGATTAAATTTTAAGACAATCTTCTTACTGCAAAATTAGGTACTAATGGTGAACCCCTTGACTCAAATTAATTAAGTCCTGTATGTTGATTCTTATTCTTCCCCCCCTCATTTATTATATATAGATCAGTACAATTTAATATTATTCCTGAAGTCATATCTCCATTTTTGTTTTTTTAAGCAATTGTGTTCTCTTCATTCTATCGATTCTTATTTTCTTAGAGCCTAGTTGAACATTACATGATGAAATTTATATCTCTGTGTTGAATATGGTGATACCTTGCTTTCTTAAGCATATACAATGTCTTAGTATCTTTTGAGATTTTTTAATGAGTCTTGGTATATTATGAAAGTTCAAAATCAAATTAACTCTTCACTTTAGGTGCAGGTCATGCAGATAAAATATTATTTTCCCTGCAGATATCAATATTCTGTTTTCTTTTGTTACTATGTTTGGTTTTCCTTTGTTTTTGTCTTATTTATACTTGTGTAAAGCTTTTATAGTAGTTACTGACTTTCACCTGTAATGGGTGTCAGTTAGGATCCAAAAGCCTTGGTCAAGACTCATGTCGGTTCCTAATGAGGAAGACTTGTCAACACATTCTCAGGTGTGCTCTTCAATTCTGAGTAGACATGTTTTTATGTATGCAGCAATAATTAAATAATAAATTTAGATGCAAATTCCTAACACATTTCGCAGTCCAACCAACTTTTGTTTCAAATCATGTTTGGGTGCATTTCAGTTTTCAATTTACGTTCTCCGTTGACTCAATTCTGAGCTAAGTTTTGGGATTGTGCTGGTGGTTTTAATTTAGGATTCCCTCTAGGAAGAAATATTAATTGAACTTCATTTTATCTTTTCTCAATATGTTAATATATTTATGACTTTGTGAACATTGCAGCTTGCATCTAATTTTTTCCGGGATCTCCTTGATTCCATTATAGTTGATGTGGCATCAGAGTGTCACAGAGTAGCAAAGCTTGGGCTTGATTCTAATTTGGAAGAAGATGAAGAATTGAAGTTGTCAGCACAAGCCAGGGTTAGGGTGGCTGATCCTAGTAATAGTAATGAAGCAAATGCCAAGTACGTGGTTGATATATTCGGACAAACACATCCTCCTGTAGCAAATGAATTTTTTGATTGCATGAATTGCGGTCGATCTATCATGGCTGGGAGGTTTGCTCCTCATTTGGAGAAGTGCATGGGCAAGGTTATTATTTTATCTTTTAGAATTTTATATGATGATCCATTTCTTAATAAATTATTTACTAAAAGGGTAAACCCCAGTGCACAAAGCTTCCCGACTTGCAAGAGTAGGGGTAAGGGTCGATTATATATAGCCTTACTTTTGCATTCTTGTAAAGAGACTATTTTTCGAACAAACCCGTGATCTTTCTTTCATAAGGAGTAACCTTGTTACTGCTCCAAGGCTCGCCCTGTAATAAAGTAGTTACTCATTATTGTTTTTTTTATGCCCATAGCATTAGTTGTGTATCATAAGTTCATAATATCTCTATTTATTGATTTTATTTCATTTGATGATTGAGAATTCAGTGAAAACATTTCCTCTCAATTGTCATGAATGCATTTGAGAGCGAGCCTTAAAGCAGTGATAAGGTTGCTCCTTGTGACCAGAAAGTCATGGGTTCGAGTTTGAAAAATAGTCTCTTTGCAAAAATACTAGTGTAAAATTGCATACAATCAACCCACATCCATACCCTCGTAAATGGAGGAGTCTTGTGCACGGGGTTTGCCCTTTTTTTTGTCATGCATGCATTTGAGTTTTGTGGTTCTTTATTTATCTCACTTTGTCTTGTTATGGAAATGCTTCTATACTTCACCTCAGGGTAGGAAGGCTCGTTCTACAAGAAGCAGCACAGCAGCACAGAGCCGGCATTCGAGAGGCAGTTCTGTTTCTACATATTCCCCATATTCAAGTTACTCTAGCAATAGCATGAACCGGTTGTCAAATGGAAACTCCACTTTTGCAGGTGAGGAGCACTCAAACGGGACATTCGAGCCATGAACTAGTGATGTGCAATGGCTACTATGGAAGATTTATATCAGGATGAACTTGGTTTTGCTGAGAGATAGTGTCATCGTGTGGTTGAAAATAATATTTCTAGCATTTTTTGGACCTAACAATTACCATTGCCTTGTACACATGCCATGATGTTTGTCTACCTATATAAAATAATATTGCCTTGTATACAGTTTCTTTGTAAAAAAAATTCTTTTAATACATTACTAATTGCAAACATGCATGTTGTGCAAGTATCACTCAAGGACGAGATTGAGGTCCTTCAATAGAATACGTTCGGTGCGTTTAGATGGATCACAATTTTTAAAAAAGATTCCGTTGCCGGGACTTGAACCCGGGTCTTTCGGGTGAGAGCCGAATATCCTGACCAACTAGACTACAACGGATTTAGTATTAGTGACAGAAATATTTATTCAATATCTAAACCACAATTACCAAACCTGATAAATGGGGTGGAGAATGTCCCTGACTTTCCACGGTCTAGGTGTCGTGTCACCAGTCAAATTCAAAACTTTTTTTTCAATACTATTTGATTGTAAATGTTATTTTTTGCTATTTAATTTAATTTTGCCATGTACCCAAGTAAACAAAATTAATTTTGCTAGTTGAACTAATTTTCATTAGCTTTCGCTATATTATTGTTTTAATAATATGTAAGAATTTTCTCTCAAAATATACCTTAGACTAAATTATACATTTAATTGGTGCTTAAAAATATTTAAAAAGTATAGTAAACAACAACCTTTTTTATGAATTTTCGATGGGTAAGTGTTTCTAATCATTTTATTTCTCCCGACATCTACCTTTAAACTTAGTTGAATTGTGTCAATTCTAAGTATTTTTTTGTTGCGTATGTTTACTCAAAAAATACTACCTTAATTTAAATGCTTTGCTTTTGACATTTTAAATTATATCTTTGAATGATTTAGTTTTATGAAATTATCTATCCATAGCATCGGATTCAAGGCATTTAGGTATAACGAAAGACTATCATAAAAAATAATACTCAAGTTTTATCCTACAAAAAAAAAAACAGTTAAATGGACCAAAACAATGTCATTTTATTTTTAAAAATAAACAAAACCAATAAACAAATATTTAAAACGAGGTCCATTTATAAGTTATTCTTTTGTCAATAACTTTATTTTTTTATATAAAGTTTTATTGGGCCTAGGAAAAACCTTATTACTTGGCTGGGATTTAGGTGAAGCCCCCACCATTCAAACAAGAACTGGTTTGGAAAGAGACTCAAATCACGTAACAATTAATAAGGAGTTTGCTTCTTCCTTAATCAGAGATATTGGTTTGATATTGTGAATAAAGAAAATAATCTTAAGATAGTTGACCTCTATATTAATTTAACAAAGTTCCAATCGGATTAATTGGATAATTAATGGGTAGAAATTGAAATCAAGTATCAAGGACTTTACTTTGAACTTTATGCTATTACTTATTATTTTGACATAAAAATGTAAACACGCCCCATATTTTTCTTCGGCAAACTAACATGGACCATAAAGTTTTCTCGGGTCATTAAAAGTACGACATGTTTTCGGCTAGTAACATTTCCAAAATATGAAGCCAGGCCTAGTAGGTCCGTGGGAAATATCTAGGCCCAGTGAGTGCTGCCCAAACCTAATCCGTATCAACCTATTATCCAACGCAAACAATTGACCAACCCCAACATTTACATAATAGTCCCCCACCCAGGCTTTCTAGTTTGGGAGTAGATCCTCTCATGTGCTAAATAACATGATAATATTATGTGGAGCAATCATAACCATACATGGGTGGGTTAATGGTGATAAATGAGGAGAGAGAAAAAAAAGGATAGGAAGTTACACAATCATCACTGTTGATTTAATTATTAATGGTTAAGATCTTCCCATATAACATGATCATGTTAAATTACACATGAGAAGATTCATTTCCTTCTGATTTACACAGGGGAATATGATGAGACTCTATCCATTTATGACGTGTCAAAATCTGTGGCTACGTGTCTCTTAGTTAGTTAGAGGTATTAGTAAGTCAGTTACGTGTTGATCAATTCTGTTAAGGGGTTAGTTTCTGAGTCTTTACATTAGTTGCTGTATATATATATAGACACTATACCTATTCGAGAGGTATGGATTTTCATTCAAAATTCTCTCAATACATTTTTTGATTCTTCTGAGTATGAATTCTTCTTTCAACTCTGCTTTCCATTTTCTCCATCGTATTAGAATAAAAGCTTTACAATTAAGAGAAATGTTATTTGTACAATATATAAAGGATCTTATAGAATTTTTTTTGTGTTATGTCAATCTAATAAAAAAGATGTGGGTCCCACTCAAAAAGAAAAAAAAGGCGGGTCATCCTTTTTATTAAAGTGACATTACACAAAAAAAACCTTCTTACAACATAACTTAAATCATTTTTACAGAACTTAAATCGATGAATGAAATTAAATTATTTTACCTATAACTAAAAAAAAAAAATTAGCCATTGATTTTTCATCATCTGATTTTGGAGTGTCAATGCTTTTAAATTTCCCTAAAAACTACTTTTATCCAGGTCAAATGGAAAAGGTGGGTTCTTATGCCCCAAAATCCTAAATTTTGGGGGGAAAGGTGCTTTTTTTTAGTTTACAGGAATTGAAAAAGAAAGAAAAAGGACAAATTTGTTTTTGTCAGATTATATATATGGGTTCATTTTTTTGCCGTCAATGTAGATAATTTATCTACATTGAACCCAAAACGACATCGTTTTGAAGTGGAAATCAAGATATTTTTATAATTATAATTTATTTCAGGGTTATAATAGTCTTTTTCATTATAATTTTTTATCCCAAAACGGTGTTATTTTTAAAGCCTATATATATATATATATATATATGAGAGAGGAATATTTTTCATTTTGAATGACACAACTTTGTGTTATTTTTAATGAAATTACGTCAGTGCTTTATTTATAATAGTTCGGAGTATATGTTTACATATTTTTATATTATTAAATTCATAAACAAATTTACATATGCTTTACGAATAATTAATCAATTGTGTATTTAAGAATAATCTAATCATTATGCACAGTAATTTTCTATTTTTCTTCTAAAAATCATTTGCACAAACTTTTTCTTTTCTTTTCTATGAGTGCAACATGCATTATAAATTTATACGTGACCACTTTGTTTGGAATTTTGGGAGAATTTCCTTTTTGTGAAGATGACACACTTCTATGGATTGGTTGCTATTTCCATGGATGGAAAAATGACGTGTTGCCACAAAAGATCACCATTATAAAATGTTCTACATTAATGATTAATGATGGAGATACATTACACTCAAGAGGGGCTGGATATAAGGCTTATGGTTAGAAAATTGTATACGACAGAGACGAAAAGCTTAGCCCAAGATTCTCATCTCACTCGTCCCTGCTCTTCACACCATCCATTTTGTGAGGATAGTTTCTTACTTTAGGTAACACAGATGGATTAATATATGATAATCTAATGCCACTTATAAAACTTTTAGTCTTACTTTGTGTTCTTAAATGACATTTTTATACTAAATGCGAGGAAATAAATTGTGTAAAATTAACTATTTGATCGAAAACTCTCAACATCTATGCATATATTTTATATTAATAAAAATTTCAAGCAATTCTTAATGAGTGGACGAACCTTAATATTCAATTCCCACATTTTATAGATTTCAAAATATGACATAAACTATACCAAAAATAAAAATATATATATATATATATATATATATATATATATATATATATATATATATGTTCGGTCTTGGAAAGACCGTATTGCTATACCGTATGGTATGCGCTCAGAGATACCGTAGAAGTAGATACATGTTCGGCTTAGAGTCAATATTCCAATCACTGCGCACAAACAATAGGCTTATAGCCAAGATGTGGGTGTGTGCACAGTGTTGACAGTAATTGTAAATAGGTTAAAAAGTGTGTACTTGGGGTCTTTAGCCTTTTATTTATAAGGGTTACCTCTAGGGTTTGTCAAGATCTCCCAGTTGCAGTAGGATTTAACCTCCTTGCTGTTGAGATAAGGATTCCATCCTGAGTATCTTTGTTGTTTGATATTGTTAGGATAATAGAGAATCTATCCTTTGATGATCACTTGAGTAGGTAGTTAGGATATGATATATATCCATAAGAGTTGCCCCCAGCCTAGTATTATGAAGCTCGGAAGGCCGGGGTACTGAGATGTTATGTCGGCTTTGACATTGTTGAGTTCACGTAATTGGTGTTGCGGATAGGCTGCGTCGGAGATTGGACCATGTGTTTGACATTCGATATGTCAGCGAAGCGTGAATTCTTCGCCGAGTTATTGATTCTTTCGTCTTTGGCCATGATTTGTATCTCGACTGCGATATAATGGTCGAGCTCGGATTTGATCTGCGACATCTTGCTTGAACTCGGATTCGATCTTCGACATCATGGTCGAGCTCGGATGTGGTCTTATCGTATTGACTTGACCTTTCGCTTCTTGCCTGCAATGATGGTTACGAACTCCCACGTGTTGTCCCCTCATTGGTGGTTCGTGCGTCGTGGAACGAGCGTCGTTCTGAGCTTTTGCAGGTCATGATTACGTTTATTAAATACGTGCAGAATTGATTTTACCATTTAGCCCTTGTTTACCCCCACCGTTTGCGGCCTCTTCATCTTCGCGCCTAGGATTTTTCTTCCTTTAAATACCTATTTTCAAAATGATACAGGATTTTCGTTTTTCTCTGGATCCTCCTCCTGGCATTATCTTCTCCGAGTGTTTTCTCTTTTCATTGTTGTTTGTGAAGGTCTTTGTTGAGTTCGTGTCTGCTTTAGTCGTTTCATAGTTGCTCCGCTCTTTTCTTACTCAGGTATTTCTTCCTTCCCTCTTTTCTTTTGTTGTTTGTTCAAATAGGTAATCTTAAGGTTTCAAAGTGTTGCGTTTTCCTTTTTATTGGGGAGGAATACGAGTTCACATTTCTTTCCTGAGCTTTCTTTGATTCTCGTAACCGTCACTCGTTTCTGGGAACTTTGATGAGTATTTCTGGTTCACCGTCTAATCCGGCTTCTGGCCGAAGTGGTGATAGAGATGAGGAGATAGTGAAACAACTGCCTTGGGCAGTTCAGTATTGGTTCTATGGCAAGGAGTATACTGAGGAGGAAAAACTCCAACAGCTTCTCCGAGGCCATCGAGGAGGTGGCCGAAGT